ATGCCTTTTTAGATAAGATCTAGTTCTTCTCAATTCATTTCCTCAAAGCCCACCAGCAGGTCTATTCACCCACAACCAAGGCTGGTGCTGTGACTTCTGGCCTTGGGCTTAGGGCAGAGGAGGCATCCAGGTATTCCTCCCCGGGGCCTCTGGGAAGGCTGCCCTTTGTCGGGACACCAGGGAAGCACAGCATGGGGAATCCTCAGAGGAGAGAGAGAGTCAGTGCTGAGTAACCCACTCCTCCTCCACACCCTGACTTCCCCAAAGCCTCACGAATTCTTCAACAGCCAGCCAGTGTGAGACAAACCTGCTGTCCTCCTTTGGTTAGAGATGCTGCCACCCTGGGGCAATCTGACCCCAAGGCAGTGAGCCAACCCAGCCAAGAGCCACCCTTTCAACCCAGAAGAACTGTGACTGCCCCCTGGTGGGGGAAAGTCTTGCATGAGGAGGGGAGGCAGGGCCACCAGGGACAGCAAGTGGTTCTTCTGGAATCTACCAGACTCTGATCAGGCGCCAGCTGAGGACTCCATCTTGGCCCAGGAGCCTGGTGATGGGTTGGAGGATTCAGGCCCATCTCGTGCCCTGTGCTGGGCTCCTCCCAGACCGCTCATCACCTAGAGGTAGGCCTGGGGCTCTTCTTGGCAGACTGCAGTGACTTGTCCCACCAGATGTACTGTTTGGGGGCCCCAAATCCTGGCCTCCCCCTGAAGCCTTCTGGTGTTGGTATCCTGGGCAGGAATACAGGACTCACATGGTAGGCAGGCTTTCAGTGGTCAGTCCTTGTGTGAAGCCCCCAGCAGATCCTTCCTTCTGCCAGCCAGCCATGCTTCATTAATTCATTCTTTCACTCAAAAACTCTCAACTGAATCTCTGGTTGTGCTTAAACAAGTACTGGGAGCTGAGGATCAAATTGAACCACGTCTTCTTTGCATCAAGGAGTTTGTAATCTCTGGTGCCAGAGAACACATAACCTGCCACCCAGTCTGACTCAGGGGTCAGACCCCGACTGCCTGGGTCTGCATCTAGGTGCCACCACTTCCTCTGTGTGGGACCCTAGGCACGTTATCCAACCTCTGTGACTCAGTTTCCTTATCTTTGAAATGGGGATAATAAATAACCATGTCTGCCTCCTGGCTGCTAGGAGGGGTTAAAGGAGTTGTGACTTGTAAAGTACAGAGCAGTACCTGGCACAGAGTAAGGACTTCACAACTAACCGTTTAAGTAAAATTAAACAAAAACTTCAATTCACATCATGATTATGCAATACTGCTAGGTTGGTCAGAAAACCAAAACTGCCAACGATTATCATTTTTTCTTGGTAACTCCTGATTTTTTAGAAACGGGAAAAAAGAATTAAATCCTAAAGTGATGTGGGAATGAAACTTAAGCTTGGTCTTGCTTGGCTGCTAGTCTGCTGCCATTTAAACTGAATTTCTCTTCCATGGATGAAAGTTCCCAGACATCGTGGCAAATTAATCACACTGGCAACTGCATCTGGCCGGCCCCTTCCTGTTTAATATTCAAATAGGTGTAGATTTGAGGAAGCCAGCGCTGCATGTATGTATGGGCCAATATTCCTTGTAGGTTCCTCTGGAAATAAATGCTGCTGCAAGTTGAAATCTATACCGAATGGCCTGGAGATGGGGTCAGGGAGGGTTTGGTGGGAGGAAGGGGGTTTGGCGGGAGGAAGGAGGTTTGGCTGGCTGTGCATCAGGCATGACGTGAAATCCAGAGCAGTGACTGTATTTTGGTCTTGCTAGAACTGCCCTGGCATTTACTCTCCCAGCCAAAGAGAACCTGGCAGGTGGAATCCATCTCACAGATTTGTCCAAGTTCCAGAAACCAGGACTGCACGTAGAAGAGAGTGGCTAGACTTCGTAATGCTACTTTATTTCAGACTCTGGTTCTCAGGCCTATAGCGCTGGGGTGAGGCCAGGGCTTTTGGAGGGAGGAGCCCCTGAGATTCCTCCAGGCTTTTGGTCCTGTCCCTCCCAGGGCCAGAGAAACTGAGGGCTCTCAGTGATAGCTACCCTTGCTTCATTTACATCATCAACTTGTGTGGTCCTTGGTGCAGTCCTGTGTCACCACTCCAGATGAGAAAACTGAGACATAGGTTAAATAACTTTCTCAGGTCATATTTGCTAGAACATGATGGAGTCATGATTCACCCCTCAGATCCATTAGGCTCCAAACCAGGGTCACAAACATGGCCCAGAGTACAGGCCGAATCTACCCTTCTGTGTTTTTGTATGTCCCACGAGTTAAGAATGGTTTTAGCATTTTTAAGTGGTTGAAAAGATCAGAAGAAGACTATTTGGTGACATCTAAAAATTATATGAAATTCAAATTTCAGTGTACATAGATAAAATTTTTTTGGAACACAGCCATGCCCATTTGTTTGCATATTATCCATAGTATGTACAATGTGCACTACAGAGCCAGAGTTGGGTAGTTGTGACAGAGACTGGATGGCCTCCAAAGCCTAAAATATTTACTCTCTGGCCCCTTACAGAAAAAGCTTGCTGACCTCTGCAGTAAACCTCTGTGCGGGTGTAACTGAGCAGGACCCTATGGGGTCTTCCTGGGATAGACCCTTCCTCTGTATCCTCTGTGGTAGCTCCTGTCTGAAGTACCTAGATAATAGTATCTCATGCATATTTCCTGAGTTTTTCAGATGCTAAAAACCACCACCAAAGGGGAGAAATGAACTACTTGATGATCATGAGCATGGAGCCCCAGACCTTCTGGTTCCTAGGGATTGATCACCATCAACCAATCTGAGACTTGTGCACAGCTGATCACATAACCTGGGATGCCCCTCCCTTAGCTGGCTTTAAAAAATGCTCAGCTGAAACCCTTCAGGGAGTTCAGGTTTTTGTGGGGCATGAGCCACTGGTTCTCCTTGCTCGGTCCTGCGATAAACCTTTCTCTACTCCAAACTCCAACGTTTCAGTTTTGCCTCACTGTGTGTCAGGCACAGGAACTTGTATTTGGTAAAATAGGCAGCCTCCTGAACAGCTCCTGCTAAGAATGGTGCGGGTATGAAAACACAGCAGAGGATCCTCCTTGCTAAGTTCTAGGACAGTATGGATAAATATGGGGGCATGATACTAGCTTCAGGTGGATTTAAAACCAGTAGAAGGGCTGGGAGGTCTCTGGGGGCATCCTGCAAAGCTCTATGGGGGCATGCCACACGCTCAGTCCTGTCCCAGTCAACACTGCTAGTAGCCCGGTTGAGCACATCGGGGCTGTAGTGGACCCAGATGGTTGCTCTGTGTTCCTTCTGCATGGAACCCTGATGTGATTCACCTTCCCCCTCATTCCTGGGTTCAGGGATCAATGCATCACCATCTTCCACTGGCTGCCACTGGGCCAGGGATGAGCACATGTCCAAATTTGATCCAATCAGGCAGAAGGGGAGAGCTTAACATTCCACAGTTGTTGGGGGAGACCTTCCTTCTCTCTCTCCCTCTCTCCCCATCTCCCCACTGTCCCCCCTCTTTCTCTCTCCTCTCTGGACATGAACAAGGACAAGCATACCCACACAGCCACCTGCAGGTTCCTGAGACAACATGGGGATGTCCTTTACATTCTGAGGGTAAAGTGAAGAGCAGAAAGAAACCCGAGTCCTTATCATGACAATAGGAGCTGTGAAATCCCCCAGCCTGCCCCATCTTGAGATTTCTTGCTGTAGGTGAGCTTAATTTCTCTTGGGTTAAAGCCATTTTGAGTCCGGTTTTTCTCTTACTTGTGGCTCCGGTTATACAACGTCCGGGAGGCCACAGCCATGACTGTCCGCCTCGGAGGCTTGTTAATGGGCTTGCTGCCTGAACAGGGCTATAGCTGTTTGCCCCCTGGCCAAGCTGGACCAGTCCTCTGGGCTAGACTTGCCTTTTTTAGTGGTGCTAGTGGACATTCTTGGTCTACCGCCCCTAGAAACACTCCCTAATGCGGCTTCAGAGGGATGCCTTCAGCCTGTCTGGGGACGAGGTTCTTGGCCCGAGGTGTGACTTCTTCATGCTGAGTTGTTGTGAAACAGAGAAAATGTTTTGGGACAGTAGTTGGGACTGTGTAACACCACCTCATTTCTGGGTGTCTGGTTTTGTGAGGTTGATTGGTGAATAGAACTATAGTTAGTTTCTGGTTTGTGTAGGAGGAAATCGATTTTGTATTTCTTCAGAACATAGGAGAGTTTTCCTACAAAGTGATGTGGAAATGGAGTGAGACCTTTTATCAGCCAGCTGTGAGCTGGGGCTGAGGTGGCTGGCCTGGCTGTGATGAATGTCGCATCCTGGGAGTTATAGACTGTGCCCTCCACACCATCCCATCCCCTCTGCAATTTGTGGGTGGGCTGCAAGTGGCAGAGGGAGACACAGTGGTGGTGCTGTCTAAAGCTGGACCAGGTTTGTGCCTCCAGTTGGCTGAGCAGCGACTACAGAATATGGATGTAGACCATCCAAACACTCCTGGTGCCTGCTGCTACTTTAGCTGCTACCATGGAGGATGATGGGCTGCGACTTCTGGTTCCTCCTCTTCCTCCTCCACTGTTTTGAAAGCTCTTCTCCAGCCTTAATTAGTGTAATGATGGGGACCTCATGTGACCTCTGTAACTGGCTCATCCTTCCTGACCTTCGGTGGGGAGGGCAGGATAACAGGGAACGCTGGGCTCAAGCCAGGCAAACCTCGGTTCAAATCCCAGCTGTCCTGCTTTCACCTGTATGACCTTGGGTAAGTCGGGTCAGTGTCCCCAGGTGTAAAATGGGGATAATGGCTCCTTGCACAGCTGCAGTGAGGAGTGGAGGAGGTGGAGATGCAGCGATGGTTCTGGTCATCGAGGAGCGGGCTGAAGCTCCATCACAGCCGGAGGCCGGCAGAGCTGGCCAGCACCAAGAGCCCTGAGGATGGCCCCCAGAGTGTGGCCCCGTGGCTTGGGCAGCCCGAGGGCTGGGTCTGATGGAGGCAGGCACTGTCCACTCCCTCAGAGGATGGTGTCCCCACAGGTCCATGACCGCTTGGATCGCTACTGCTGCGGCTTTGAGCCCGAGCCCTCGGACCCCTGTGTAGAGGAGAGGCTCCGAGAGAAATGCCAGAACCCAGGGGAGCTGCGGCTGGTCCACATCCTGGTACGTCCCCGGGTCACCCCAGACTCGGGTCTGCCTTTCTCCGTCAGCAGATACGGTTGCTGAGTGTCAGAGATCCTGTGACCTTGGGGTGTCACTATCCTGTTCTTTTTAGAAGTGGGACCCTTTGTTTGAATAATGTTTCCAGGAAGCCTTAATATATAAAACTGATGAAAGTGGAGCTTTGAGGATGTGGTTGAGGTGGGTATGGGCTGGGGGCTGGAGACGTTTACACTGACTCCTTTGTCTCCGAGACACTCCAGGGAAGCCCTAGGTTTCCTGGAAGCAGAGTATGGGAACTGTGTGTCTAGTCAGGCGTCCCCACTGTGCCAGTAAATGTGGAAATTGTGGCCTAGAGCAGGGAAGGGATTTTCCAAAGCTGCGTGTCTGCTTGTGGGCAGTGACAGGGCTCTCTCCTAAACCCTGATGGCTCACAGGCTGGGGCTGTTGGAGAAACACTGTATTACCTCCAGTTAAGAAGAGAGCCGGAGTGGGGAGTGATGTGCTGAGGCTATCGAAGAGGGACTGGTGTGGCAGAACAGGAGCGAAGTATCACCCCGGGGCTGAGCTTCTCTGTCTCCTCCCCAGTGAGGCAGGTGTCCTTGCTGCCTTGCTTGCCCCATTGCTGCTGGAGGGTAGCCATCAGCATGGTGCCCTGGCCTAAGTGTCAGGCCACACCAGCCCGGAGGCCAGGGCTGCCTGGTGGAGCCACGGGTGTCGTGGGAATTCTCCCTCTCCTGCCCCAGAGCCATCTGTCCGATTCCCTGGTAAAAGACAGATATCCTTTGGAGAGGTGGGCTTTTAGATCCATCATTTACCCCTGGTGGGTTGCCATCTCACAGATCCTTCTGGACAGCAAGTTTTGGAGAGAAGACTCATTGGGTTTCAAGAAACAGATGATCCCTGGTATGTGCAGGGGGGTTGAGAGGGAGAAGAGGCAGAGAGAGGGGAAACTGAGGTCCTGGAGACAAAAGTTCATGATGTAAGCCCAAGTCGCTGGAGAGAATTATGGGAAATTACCAGGGAATCTTGGTGAATATGTAGGAACAGGGTGTGTGCATGGGGGTGGGAGAAGGGAGCCAGAAGAGATGGCTTCTTGTTCCCACTATATCACAGTTTTAAGGTGGTAAAGGATTCCCTGTTGCTGACTTTAGTTTGGAACAATTTTAGGAGGTGCTAAACTCTTCTCCTTTGGGGACAGAGTATGATCAGTGCTGCCTGAGGATGAAGGGTGTCCTGGTGTTCTTAGTGATGCTCAGGGGAACGCCCAGGGATAGGGTCACAGGGGCCACAGGGCTGAGCGTGTGTACGTCTGTCTGTGAGTGTGCACATGTGCAACACATCTGGAGCCACAGCCCTGATAGGTGGGCTTCCTCCACCCCTGTTGACTCCCACCTGTGCTCCTCACCCCTTCAGCCACCAGAACAGGAATCAGCCCCTCTACCTTCTAATTTCCAAGATGATGCTGTGGCTTGGGGCCACAGGTCCAGGTTTGAACCTGCCAGCTACCTGTTAGTTGTGTGACTTTGTGCAGTTACTTAACTTCTTTGTGCCTCTGTTTCTGTAAAATCAGGCTAATACTAGAGGCCACCTCCCAGGGTTGCTGGGAGAGGTCACTGAGATGGTGCCTGGAAGCACTGAGCACAGCACGGGCATAGAGTAAGCTCACTACTCAGTGCCAGGGGATCGTCTGGGTGAGTAGCAGGGTGGATTGTGGGACTGACAGCTCAGGGTCCCCCAGGCCCCTGAGCCCTGACAGAGTCCATAGGCACCAACTAGGCTGCTCCCTTACCTACCTCTATCTCTGTCCATCCTCTTCCCTGAGGTCCGGAGCAGTGATCCATCTCATCTGGTCTACATCGATAATGCCGGCAACCTTCAGCATCCTGAGCACAAGCTGAACTTCCGGCTGCTGGAGGGCATCAATGGGTGAGGGTCAAAGGGATTGGGTGGAGATTCAGGGACAGAGGCTTGATGGCCCTGCTGTAGACCGTGGGACCTTGACCTGTGGCTCTGGGGGAGTCCACAGTCCATCAAACAAGAGCTGTTGGATTGAGCCTCAGGATGGGTGGGGAGCCTTGGAAAAACTGAGAGGGTACAGCCAGCAGGTCCTTCCACTCCTGGATGCCTGGATGGGCTGCCCCACCTCCAATATCCCCAGGGTCTCCTGGCCCCACACAACATAGGCACAGGCTGCCCTACCGGGGATGGGAAGGCTGGCCCTTCCCTTGTCCTTTGCCTGATGGGGAGCTTGTCTGGAAGCCTGCCTTCTCTGCTCACTCCTGCAGGCATCCAGGCTTTCCAAGAGCTCCTTTTCACTTGCCTGGGTCAGCAGAGCAGGGGGTAGGACCCATCCAAAAGCTCTATCCCCTGCCCACTGTCACAGCAGAGTGAGTGGAAAGGTCCCCAGATGACCAGTCAGCAGGTGGCCCTGGGGACTTGGTGAGGTGACTTTGCAGGTCCCCAGCTGTGTGAGTTCTGGCCATCTGGCCTGGCCTTTCATGGAAACTCTCTGAGATGGCTTGTGCTCTTCCTTTCTGTTATGGGGATGGGGGACCCCATTCCAGGTTTCCTGAGTCTGCTGTGAAGGTTCTGGCATCAGGGTGTCTACAGAATATGCTGCTCAAGTCGCTGCAGATGGACCCGGTGTTCTGGAAAAGCCAAGGCGGACGACAGGGGCTGCAGAAGGTCCTCCAGACCCTGGAGCAACGAGGACAGGTCTTGCTGGGCCACATCCGGACACATAACCTGACACTTTTCAGGGACAAGGGCCTGTGAGCCCCCCACTGCCCAGGTGGGACTCTCTCCTTGCTGGGAGGGCAGGGTGCCTCACAACACAACCTGAGTGGATGAGCACCCGTCTTCTCAGCCACGTTTTCTTGGATTCACCCATATTGAAGACAGAAGGTAAAGCCAGAAGCCAGAAGGGCACCATGGATGCCACGGGATGTGTCACCTGCTTGGGATGGTGGAGGTGATGGGTGCTGGGTTTTCAGTCTCATCACATTCCTTTGTGCCTGCTTAGCTCTGGCTATTTATTCCCTTGCACCAATAAATACATTCAAGAATGTTCTGTGAACTGCTTCAGGTACTGAAAGATCATGCATCCCACATGCACATGCAGAGGTGGATGTGTGTGTGTGTGTGTGTGTGTGTGTGTGTGTGTGTGTAGAGGTGTGTACATATACGTGGCATGTGTGTACCTGCCCACATGCATATCAGATGAGCCTGATGAGGGTCTTTACAGAGTTGTGGCCCAGAGCTGCTCTAGCAGAAAATGAACCCAGGTCTATGAAGCGAAACACTAAGCATTTTGTCTATATAGGCTTTAGATGTTCAGTTCTTATTCACTTATATTTTTGGTGTAGGAATCATAAAAGTAATACATGCTCACTAAAAACAAATTCATGAATAAGGGAAGCATATAAGAAGTGTGACTCTCAGAAACTCCCTAGAGATTGTGTGTGTGTGTATTTCACACCACACTACATGCAAATTAAAATATGATAAAAGTTGGGTGTCTTTGTCCCCTCACTATTTTTACTGTATTGTATTTCCTATATTCTGTATCAGCCACTGGGGTTGACCCAATTCTTATTCATGACTTCATGGAACTCCAAGGCAGGGATGTGTCATGTTTTCATTTAGCTGTTCTCATGATGAACATTTAGGTGGCTGTGATGTTTATTATTTCCTTCCTTCTGCTGACTTTAGACTTTGTTTGTTCTTCTTTTTCTAATTCTTTCAGGTGGCAGGTTAGGTTGTTTGAGATTTTTCTTGTTTTTTTGAGGAAAGGCCTGTATTGCTATGGACTTCCCTCTTAGGACTGCTTTCGTTGCATCTCAGAGATTTTGCAGATTTATGTTCATTGTCATTTGTCTCAAGGTATTTTTAAATTTCCTCTTGGATTTCATCATTGATCCATTGGTTTTTTGGTTTTTTTTTAGATTTTTAAAAATATTTTTGATTTTCAGAGGAATGGACTTGGATGTAGTAATTTTGGGTTCAGAATTCTGGGCTTGGCCACTTGTTGGTTAGCACCTGACGAATGCTTACGAGCACTGGCTATAATAACCACGGACATTTACTGAGCGATGACTACATGCCAGGCACTGTGATCATGTTTCCATGGATCAAGGCATTTAACCTCACCATCACCTGATGAGTAGGTATGATAATTGTTATCTCATTTCATAGATGAGGCACAGAGGGGTTAAGTGACTTGCCCAAGGTCACCCAGCTTGTAGGTGGAAGGGCCAGAATTCAAGCCCAGGTAGGAGCTGTGCTACCAAGTCTTAAACCCAGGCCCACCACTCAGAGGCGCCCCCACCACCCTCCCTGGCTGCTCTGACAGCTACTTTTCCTCTAATTCCTTTGGATTCAGAGCTGATGACAGGCAGGGCCAGTTCCCTGGAATGTGAGCAGCACATGTGACTCTGGCCAATCACATCACATGCATTTGGCTCCCTGCCCATTGCTTTTTGCTTGTTAAAGTCTGTTCAGTCTGTGAACTGTGTCTTTTCTGCAAACTTGAAACTTCATCCACTTTTTATCCTTTTTAAAAAACACTCTCAGCCTTAGTTCGTGCTGGGGCTGCTTGCCCTACGCCTCCCCACGTGTTACCTCTGGAATGAGAATGATGTGCCAAGGGAAGCAAACAGCGGGGGATGGTGAATCAGGACATTCCCATCAACCTTAGAGAGGCTGCCAGGCCAGGAACCGCAACGGGTCTGAAGTGTGAGGGTCATGGGGGTCTGGTCAGCCACAGGCAAATCAGCCTTGAGAGAGGCTGGCCGAGGGGCTCTGCCGAGGCCATCACCGGCCTCGCTGCATGCCTGACCCTGTTCCTCGGCACCTCATCCCAAAAGGAGTAATCCAAGGAAATTGATGGTGTTTCCAATAACCTCCGAAGCTCTGAAAATCAAAAGCTTTTCATATGCTGGGTGCCAAAACTCATGTCAGACTCAGTGTGAATATTCATATATTTCACTGCAGACATGCCAGTGTGTTGGTGACTGGGTGTAACCTCAGACCCTGCTGAGAGTGTTGCATAATACACAGTATAGGCGCCAGATTACCTTCTCAAAAATTCAGAATTTGGAATCATATTTGGCCTTCAGGGTTTGGGTATGGGCTTCTGGACCTGTAATAACTAATATATCACACATCTGGCACGGTGCTAAAGCTTTACACAGATGATTTCCTGAATGCCTCACGACAATCCCAACTGTCTGGTCCTCACCCTACAGGCGAAGAACCTCAGCTGGGGAAGGAGAGACTTGCCTGAGGCCACTCGATGGAGGCAGCAGAGTCTGCCAGTGGCCTGCAGGAGCACTGCGTGTCATGAGCTGAACACACATGGTGGCCTCCACTGTGCCACGAGCTTTATGCAAACCTTCGGGACAACTCCAGGACAAGGTAGGCATTATTGCTCCCATTGACAGAAAATGAAGCCAGGCCTCAGAGAGGCTGAGTCTCTTGCCCAAGGTCACAGAGCAGGTAACTGGTGGAACTGGGATCTAAACCCAGGCCTGTTTGACTCCAGAGCAACCACTATAGCATTCTGGCTTCCTTCCTACATTCATTCATTCATTCACTCCTTCAATCAATCTGACGAAGTAAATTTCCCAGAGACAGTGTGTGGAAGATGTTGGAGATCATGTACTGTGGTGACCATGTGTTCCAGATGTGTGGAGACAGGCGCATTTGTACCTATCCTGTCTGATTTGTGTCCTGGCACTGTTTGGTGAGTGAGAGACCCTAACTGAGGACATGGGAAGTGTGAGGGCAGCACTGTGGGCAGGAGGGGCAGAGAAAGAGCACTGCCTGGGTCGGGGAGGGCACAGAAAACACAGGAGAGGTCTTGGGGACATTAAGCCAGTTCCCCCTTGGCCTGGGCTCTCAGATAAGTGGGTGGTCTTCACCTGAACCCCCAAGGCTCAGCCATCAGCTCAGTAAGACACTTCCTGCAGCCTCCACTCCTGGACCACCTGCAGCCAAGGGCTGTTTCTCTGGATCTCTGGCTCTGTCAGTCTGCCTCTGCTGATTCTGGCCTTTTTTCTCCTCAAAGCTGCCGCAAGGCCTCTTCAGTGGGGTCACGGGAGACCCAGAGACTATGATCACTCTGAGGGAGGAACAGCACAAAGGGAGTTCTTCCTCCTCTGTCCCTGGACCCCTCCTTCCCCACCCTGGACCAGCAATGGTGCTGTCTGAGCCTCTCCTGACCCACCAGGTTCTGGCCAGCACTGCTCAGGGGGTGCTCATCTCGGGGTCTGTGAGAGCTAGGGCTCTCAGCCAGTGACCAGGATACTTGTCTAATGCACAGCTTTGCCTCAGGAACTCCCAATCAGCCTGGCTACAGCCTGAGACTCCACCTCCCCCAGGATACCTTTCTCTCTCTCCTTCGCAGGAGTCAGACCTCATGCATCATGGCCTCCTTGTGAAGAAAAGGCTAAAACTCTCCTTCTCTAAGGACAAATTTGATCTTGAGTTAATTTTCTAGCTGTTCCCATGGAAACCGGATAAAGCTTCAATGTCAGGTGTGGTATTCAGTGAAACTGCTGTTGGTAAAAATGACCTCTGAAAAACTGGAAGGACCTTGAATGAACTAAAGTACTTGACAGGACATCCTAGCTGAGGCTTCCCCGAGTGCGAGTGTGGCAATTCCTATAACCCAGGAGGTTCCTCCAGGGACCCGGGAACTTGATTGTGGGCTGTTTAGAAGATAATGGCTCCTATGGGACTTTTAAGCCGAAGTGGCCCCCAAACTATAGATGGAGGTGTCAGCTCTTTGCCCTTGAGCTGTCACTTGGGGGAGAGGGTGAGAGAATGGCTCCTGGACCTGTGTGAGGACCCCTCCTGTGGAAGAGATTGCTTGATGCGGCCGTGCTGGCTTGCTGAGTGTCCTGTCTTACATTCTTCTAAGTGAGTCTGACACTGGGAGTATCTACCATGGTCTCATGAGTGTGAATGTCTAGAAACCTACACAGACCCCTGGCACACCCTGCTGTTCCTGCCCACAACCCTCTCCCACCTACTTCCAGGCTTTCATCCCACACAGACGGACATGTGATACTCGTCCAGAAGTTAGGATGAAATCCAGCCAGCCTGCCTTGCTTCCCAGTCCTTGACGCCTTCCCTTTGCCACATCTCCTCAGCTGACAATCAGGATGAAAGGGCATCTGGGTATTGACTACCAGCCCCTCTTTCTACTATCCAATAAAAGACCGGATCGAGATGTTATCATCATTTAATGAATGTTCCAAACACCCTTCACTAGGCTACAAGGTGAATTTCATGATGATGGAAGCTGAGGAACCACTCACCCAAACAACCACATGATTATTTGTAGTTTCCAGAAACCTGGGTACCAACCAGAAAGACTGTAGGGAACAGCATGATCGCTTAGCTAAAAAGGTTCTGTGAGATTCTTACTGTCCTCTTCCTCCTCCGCACAAGGACCTTCTCCAGAGTATGGATGCTCAGGATGGGAGAAGGGAGTAGGGAGGTCCCATCGCATCTGTGCAAAGAGGTGTGCCAAGAACCCCACACCTCAGATGCAGTAAGATGATCTGGAGGCCCAAGCCTGCTCAATAAATAATTCCCAGAAGCCACCCCAAGTGGCGAGCAGACCCAGGGACCCCGAGCTGGAGGAGCCTGGCCGGTCTGCTTGCTACGTGTTGCACACAAGCACATCTGCAAAGGGTCCCAGGAGGGTCTTGTTGAAGATGCAGCGGACCCACACCAGGTAGGTGGTGAAGGGCTTGATATTCTCGGTGAAGGTGTGGTTCTGCAGGGCCAGGATGTAAGGCACATAGGTGTTCTCCCCCTGTTCCTGGAGCCACACCTCGTACTTCACCTCCCGCACCTTCAGGTACCTGAGGTTCCATGGGATCTGCCAGGAGACGGTGAGGCGGGCCTCGGAGGCGCCCTGTACCGACGCCTGGCACCTTGCTTCCCGTACCTTGCCGGGGTACAGGCTGACGGTCCACTTCTGCTTCCGAGGCCCGGGCCGGCCCTTCACCACGCGCCGTATGGTTTGAATGAGGGATGGGATGTCCACCTTGGTGTCCTGGTAGATGCGGAAGAGCCACTCTGGGTTCCGGCAACAGAGGTGCCGCGGGACTTCCTGGCTTTGCAGGATCCGGGCCTGCTCAGCCCGGTCTAGGTGGGTGATGCCCCCCTGGTCCCAGGGCCGCTCTGGGTGTGTGACCGTGTTCTCTGGCATCGTATTCCGCCAGGCTATGTACTGAAGGTCCATGCCAGGCAGCATGGCCAGTGTCTTATAGGGGGTGTAGTGGTCAGGGTTGACGGCGTATGGAAAAAGTTCCACCACGGCTGCCCCGCGGGGTAGGAAGAGGGCGGTGACCAGCTGGGCCCCGTGCATGCTGACCAGCATGGAAGCATTGCTGACCAGCCGCACGACATCTGCAAAGGCATGGTCCTCCAGGGACACGGTCACCGTTTTCATCTGGAACTCCTGGGCCAGTGCCAGCAGCAGCTCTGCCTCATTCAGGATGAGTCTGTTCTGGGTGCGGCTGAAGACCAGGATGTACTCCTCGCGCAGGGCACCTCCTGCGTGGCTCACGTTCAGCTTTTCTGTCAGGAACCGCGCAAACTGCCGGATCTCGTTGCCTGAGACAAGGATATTGGCCTTTGGGCCCTGGGGCTGGACGAAGCCATACTGGTACCACGTGGTGACCTTGGAGAGGCCCACGAAGGCATGGGAGAAGCACAGCAGCCGGCCCAGGGCCTTCAGCTGTGCTCGCAGGAGGGGCTGCTTGGGGCTGAGAAGCTTATAGAGGTCGAAGTGCGCACCCTCACCCCAGCCCTCCATGAAGAAGAGCCGGGCCTCGTGGGCCAGGCCGGGGAACTGCCGCAGGGTGTAGAAGAGGGGCAGCAGGTCATCGTGGAAGACGTGCATGAGGTTGTCGGGGTTGAAGCGGTTGGCGATGAGGGCCACGTCGGGCACGAACACCGGCTTGGGCATGAAGCGCAGGGCGGCGGCCGGCAGCTCCACGAAGTTGAAGTACTGGGTGTTGTGGTCCTCCACCGTGGACAAGTCGAGCAGCGCGGGCTGGAAGCGCCGGGAGCCCAGGCTGGGCAGCATGACCGAGGCGTTACCGTGGAAGAAGATGAACTCCTCGGCCTCGCTGGAGTAGCAGAGCCACTTGAAGCGGCAGAGGCGGTCGGTGTGCGTGCGCCCCGTGCACACCATGTGCGTGCCGCCCTCCATCAGGATCTGCAGCGCCTTCGGGTAGTCAATCCTCAGCGCGGGGGCAGGTTCGGGGGCCTGGCGGCCGAGGGCCAGCTCCTCCTCCAGGGAGGCCGCATGCTCGCGCAGCCGCACGTGCTTCCACAGGACTGCCGCCAGCACTGACACCAGGAGGGCGTTGAGCACCGCCGACAGGTGCATCCTAGCGCCACCAGGGGGCCCTAGTGAGACGAAGGCCCCGGGGAAGTAGCGCGCGCCCAGCGGGCTTTACCCATCCCTGAGGGCACCCGGAGGATTGGCAGAGGCCTGCAGGAGGAAGGAAAGAAAAGGAAAAGGTGCTGGCTTGTGTGTCTAGCGTCACCTCAAGGGGCCACTAGGTGCACTGGATCCCCGCACCATTTTGCACATTTGAAGGTATGGTAAGTTACACTGCTGTTGAAAAATATTCACTCCCCTTCCTCCCCTGCTGCTTCCACGGGGGGACCATACATCCCTGCACCTTGGTTTTGGGCTGGGCCACGTAATTTGCTTTGGCCAGGGAGATGGTAGCAGACAGAACACAATGGGAAGCTTGAAAAGACTTGTGTGAGCAGCCTTACCCTCTTTACACTTTGGATGTTGTCAAGAATGTGTTCAGCCTAACTTGCTGGTCCCGGGAGGAGTGAGCTAGGTGTAGGGCATCGCTGTCCAGGTGTGCTCAGTTTGGCTCACCTGACCCCCAGATTTGTAAGTTAGTCCAGCCAAGATCCACTGGTCGAATGCAGCCAAGACTGGGCAGCAGAGACCACTGAGCTGAGTAAGTGCTTATTTTTGTATGCCACTGCACTGTTGGGGCTGTTTGTTAAGTACTACTGCAGCAAAAGCTAACTAGCAGAGTATCTGTGATGAGAGGCCTCAGGGAAAATCCCTCTTAGGGGCCAGTATTTCCGCTGAAGGGTAGGAACTCCTTATCATGGGCGCAGATGGGACTGAAGGCCCGTGAGTGCTGTTTCCAGGCTGCTCAGCAGGACCCTGCCTGCCCCTTCTCAGGACACGTAGCATACATGCACAGCGGAGATAGGGAACATCTGCTTATGCTTAAAGCTCCTGTTTGGAAATCCACGACTGCTGGTTTTTAGATCTCCATGAAAAGATGGGTAGAAACTTATCCCTCAGTGGTGCAGTAAGAGAATTGTGTCTGAGTTTCACCACTGACAAAGGTTTTGTATATTGAGGCAAACCCCCAGGGGTTAAACTCCCTGCCCCATGTACACACACACAGAGGGCTACATAGTGGCAATATGGCAGACCTGGTCCTCAATCTCTCCCTGAGGCCTGGCCCAGCCAGGAAGGGGTCTGTTATGCTTTTCAAAGTGGAGAAAAGAGACAACTCTTAGCATTAAGACAGGACTGATGGCAGTCACCACTGGCAGAGTGAAAGGTCTAATTCCCTGAGAGCCAGTCCCTTAGGCCCTGGATATGTACCCATGCGGGCACAAGAAGCCGGACAAAATGGAAGGATTGGTAGTTATCCTGAACAGGGCAGGGAAAGGGGGCGCTGGCCTCTGGGCAGGGGGTGGGGGTTCATGCTACCACCATCTTACTGTACTGAGCACCTGCTTTCTGCCAGGCACTGTCCTAAGCCCTTGCCCTGCCCCTTTCCACTTAAGCCTCACAAAAGCCCTCTGGTGCTAGTATTATCTCTATTTTCTTTTAATATGAAAACCTAAAGCTCAGAGGGGTTAAGCACCATGCTCTGCGTCTTGAAGCTCAAACAGGGGCACCAGGATTCAAACTTGTGTGACTCCAGGGGTACTGTTCGCAGCGCTTCAGACTCAGAGGTACAGTCAGTCACAGAGAAGCAGGGTAGACCTCAGAGCAATGAGTTTTTACCGCTCAAGGGCAGAACAGGTGTGGATGGCTCTGGAAATGCAGACTCACAAGCCCTCAACTGTAGCTTAGCAACCCACAGCTTTTCTTGTGTAATTGCTCCCCGCCCAGCACACAGATACCCAGCAGCGGCAGGTGGCTCAGGGAGCTGTAGCCATTCTCTCACCCCAGGGAGGTCCAGGGAGCACAGTGGGATGATAATTATCCCCCGTGCCCTAGTGCTGTGCTGACAGGGTTCATCCACCAATTTAGAATTACAAAACCACTGCTTTTTAGAGCTAAAGGAGCGCTTAGAAATTATTTGTTCCAACTCTTTATTTGATGAAAGGTCTTGAGAGGCAGTGGGAACTCTCCCAATCTGCCGAGATGAAAACAGTGGCATTCGGGCTCTCAGTCCAGGGCTCCCTCTCCTCACCCCCACGGCTCCCAGGTGACCCCCCTCCTAAGCAGAGATCAGGCCCAGAAGTACATGGCTCCAGGACTCTTCCCAGCCTTGATACAAGATTGTTTCTTCTCATAACCAAGTTTCCGGGTCTCACTCAGATTATGCCCTTCCCTGGCCCTGTGGTCCAGTAATGAGAGCCTCAAGGGGCCACTGGGCTCCCTTTGCCTGCCTCTTCCCAACATCTTATCCTCTAGCTTTGTCCAACCTCAGGCATAGAGAAGCACACACAACCAGGCTGCA